TTTCTTCACAGGTTACTGCTAAATTGCTTTGAAACAACCCCAAGTAGATTTGCTACACACAGTGCAGTAAAGTAAAGGTTGAGCTGGCCATTACAAAACATAGGTTACCTGTGGTTAGGCTGGAACAATGTTTAACCCAAGCATTTAAGTGGGAAACTAGTGTATGCTCTGTCCATACAGAAAACTTAAAAACAAACAAACAAACAAACAAACGTGTTTAAGAGGTGCTACAAGCATTATAAGAAATTTTTAACAAGTTAGCAGCCTCTTGTAATAATTAGCATTGTTTATATACAGTAATCTTGTTGGGGAAAACAGGTCCCAGATAACACCATACTCATTCCAATAACATGGGAGTTACTCTACTTGGAGGGCACTTAGACTGCTGAACAAATAGCTTAAAGATCTTTGGGAACACAGAAGCATTGCAATCAAATTTTATTTATGTTCTTCTGTGGTGTAGAAATCAAACAGCAGGACAAGGGTGATCCTGCTACTGTATGCAAACTGTGGATTCGTTGCAGGTGGAAATGCTAACCACCAAAAGGCATTTTTCTGTTTTGCCATCACCTCGTACAGATATTACACATAACATGGAACAACAGCTTAAATGTGAATGTCATGTGATAAAATGGATGCTTGCATTACTACAGTGCTAAGAAATTTAAGGCTCAGAGGCGCAATCAACGCAAACCCAAGCACATCAGCTTAGATTTGTGTTGTCTAATTAGTGCTGTAATAAGTTGGCACCCTCACATTTGTCTTTAAACTTCAACATACTTAGTGCAAACTTCCTTGCTCTCTTAAATGCCCCTTTGGAAAAGCAAAGTCAAAACTGATACAGAGAGAAAGAACATAGGAGGTTTAACAAACAATGTATTTCTAGCAGGTTGTCATTATTGATCATGGAAAAACTATTTAGAGTCAAAACACCTACAAGTGTAAAAACAACCTAAAAGCTGCCATTTAATGAATAATAAGTATTATTATTCTTTAAATAATGGTATTAAAGTATTCCTAGAGTCTTTATTACCTTAATAGCTAAGTAATATAAGAAAAAGTGATAATGGGAAATTAATTTAAAAAAAAAAAAAAAGCAAAACTTTTAGGACATGATAGAAAGAAGGAAATAAAGGAATAAACTAATGGACAGTGCAGATTATTAAAGATTGTGTCCAGATGAGAGCTGAGTAGAAGATAAAAAAAACACCACCACAAACATACCCACATCTCCCCACACACTCAGGCCATCACACATAAGCCCTCTAAACAAGACTGTGGAAATCCTACCTTATCTGAAGTAGCACAGGAAAAAAAAAAAAACAGTCACCAACTGGATTATTTTAGTAGATCTTAGTTAAACCTATCTTCAATGAAATGCATATTTTTGTTTAATATCACAGTCATTTTAACTATGACAAAAGTCAGATTTTGAATCAGTTTCTTTGTGAGCACTGCTCTATTTGAAACCCAGCAAGAATGTAATAGTGCCAGCTGAGTTCCAAACCAGCCTTAGCAAGGATTTAAGAGGTAAAGGTACCATACTGTAACTTCCTTCTCTTCCACCAATCGTGTAAGCCATTGTCAGGTTTTTAGCCTTGCCATTTACAGGTCATGATTTTTTTGTTTTGCCAAATAAATAATGCCAGGCCTACTACAGCAGGATCATACACAGACTAATCTATCATCTCAACTGAAATTCTGGAGGGTTTATAGATGTTCTTACTCAAATCCTTGAGGAGAGGGAGCTCATAGGAATGAAGTCATCCTTACACATACAGTTATAATGCAACACTGCAAGTGCTACAGCATTAAAAAAAAAAAAAAAAAAAAAAGCTAGTACGACTCCAGAATCACAGCACAGCTTAAGAGGGGGGTTATTGACTCATGAATTTGTCACTATTTTGTTTTTCACTTGCCTTAAGTTTTCTAATTCCTGTTTCTTCAGAGGCGAAGAAGGTGGAGCTGCAATGAATTTATCCCCTTCGTGACTTTTATTGCTAGAATAAAAGCATTATATTAATTATTACAAATGACTATAAATACTACAAAAATTCACAGTAAAATAAGCATCAATATTTACTCATCCCATTTAAAAAGTCTGCAAAAAACTCTATAGCCTAGAAATGAGGGATATGAAGCTAAGCAAAAATTGAGGCAAATGCTCTTACCCTAACTAACCCTGGTTGACAAAGAAGAATGGGGGCATTTGCTGGGAAGGATCTGACTGACAGACCAAACAAACCATGCCACTTCCCACAGCCTGGAGCTATTTTTGAAGTTCCATGTGATATAAGAAGTTCAAACTCCAGAAATCTCTGTAGCCTTTTTTCCCTCAGCCACTAAGAAAAGCAGCAAAACAGCTCCTCTCAGTAATTACACATATATTTTATAAGTGATAAAACCTACAAAGTGCTACAGCCTTTTTAGATTTATAGCTGTCCTTTATTTTTATTACTTTAAAATGATGGCCCTGCATCCCATTGAAAAACAAACAAACAAACAACCAAACAAACAAAAAAACTCAACTCTATTTTAAATCATTGGCAACTTCATTCTCCAGTAAGTGGAAAGAAAACCTCCTTCCAAAGGAAGAGACAGGAAGAGAAGTTAACAGCTGCACCTTGGCAGAGAGACATTGTAGTTTACAAAGAGATAACAAAAACAAAAATCTGAACTGAAACTAAGTTCCATCCATGTACCAAGCACAGAACCTTCCCACTTGTACGCAGCACCACCGCAGTGCAGGTACCTCATGCCTTTGCCAGATAGAATATTTAAAAATACCCTAACCACTGAAAGTATTCATAGTTTTCCAGTGAATAACAAAGGAAATGCCCAAGAGTCAGCCTATTCAATTAGTGGGATTTGCTTCAAAATCACCCTGTTCAATTAGTGTGATTTTCTTCAAATGCCCTCTATCTTTTACTGCTCTCTCACAGAGGGTCCAAATCCCGTTAGAGCCTTTCAGAATGCAACATGCAAATTCAAGAACAGCCTGCCTCATTCCTGGGTATTCTGAAGAGATGAATGGCCATGGAAATATCAGAGACTTTTTACATTGAAGAAGCATCTGGTTTTAAAGCAGAAGGTATTAAAGGACTTCCCTGTACAGGACATGATTTCCTTTCCTCACCCCTACCAAACAAAGTGAAGCAACACAAGCAAGTTGGTCTCAGCTGAGTAAGGGCCGCCATTTTGTTTTCATTGCTGCCTCTTACTGGGCCCCATAAGCTTAAGTCCCACTTAAATCAGAGGAGCTTCATCCCAGAAAGCTGCATACAGCTCACCCAGAGAAGCTGGGCAGCTTACAGTGTCCACCCTTGACAAACAAAAACACCAACCAATGAAAAAAAAAAACCAAGTAAACAAATTACACACCAGCCTGGGCCTACAGAAGCAGCCCAGATTTATCATTTGATCACTTGACAGGAAAGACTGTCCTTGGAAGGAAAGGCTTATAGGACTGATGAATGCCTAATCTTATCACAGGCAAATCTTTATAACTAAGCTGCTAGACATCTGTATATTGAATTGTACATGGCACACGTGTGCACATACACAAAATCACTGTAATGTGAAACTTCACTACAATTAGAGAAATATCAATAGGCACTGCAGGGGTGTGTGGGAAAACAAAACATTTGCAGCAAAGGAAAAAAAAAAAAAAAAAAAAAAAAAAAAGATGGTCAGTGAAAAAAGAATGCCTCCGTGTCATTCATTAAAGTGGTTTCATGACAGGAATCAACTCTGGATTTTGTTTTTAAATTAGCATAGCAGCAATTAGAACAACAGGCAGCTCAACTGCTTCCTAGGATACCCCAACTGCTAAGAGAGTTTATACACATTATCTCTTCTGCTGGCCAAAACAGGACAGGTAGCAGGCACAGATTGCCAGCCTACAGCTACTTTGGACAAAAAGAAAGGTTTACAGGCAATTAAAACTATAATATTCTGATTACCTGCATGCTTCACTGCTTTCACTGTTTTCTGTATTTCCCCCCAGCTGATTATTAGGTTTAGATCCATTTTCCTGCTTTGGCTCCTGCTGGTCTTCTGGAAGTAACAGCAAGGTATTTCTTAGACAAATGGCTACAAACTCCATGCTGGCTACAGGTATTGCTGAGGACTGCCCGTCACTGGAAAAGACACAGAGTTAGCTGATGAGTACCAATCCTAGTAACTTGAAAAGCAGAGATCCAGAAAGACCTGGGTGCAGGTCAGAGTAACTAGATTCAACCTGCAATTTTATAGAGTGTATTACAAAAAATACGTATTTTAACATGAGAGAAAGAGGATTGATTTAGCTATATCTGGAAACACAAGTTTCAGATAGATAAGTAAATTTCAAGCTTTAATAGTTCTCTTAGTTACAACAGCACACAATTAAGCCCTCTGCTGGCCACTACAGAGAAGGCACCCAAATGATTAGGTAGGACTCAGGCATTTTAAAACACATCTCTCTAATTACATGAGTATTCCAAAATGAACATGGGAATTCCATGACAGCTTAAAAGACTCTCAGTAAACAAACATGCACCCTTAACAAAGTTATGATAACAAAATAAAGGCCCATGGAAAACATACTTACTTATAAACAACGTTCTGTATTGACTGGGATGCTAGGACTATTTTGCGGTGGTAGCCTTGACCTACTATAGATTGCACAATCCCCTTCTTGCTGGGAAGACCTTTAGTCTCTTGTTCTGATGTCTAGGGAAGAAAAAAATAAAAAAAAAAAAAAGGAAAAAAGGAAGGAGGACTAAAATATCAAAGCAGTTAAACTGTTGAGAGCCTTGCAAGGTAAGTGAGAACTGAAGTCTTCACATCCAGCTACAATGTAGATGTTAATGGTTTGTACAGATACAGTTTTAAGTTTAAGTACCATGAAGGATCAGATACCTCCTATTGTCTTTGTGTTGCACAGGGACTTTACTGCACACAGTGCTCTCACAGGTCCCTTCTGACAGCTTGTCTGATAGCCCACTGACCTAGTTTCTCCTTTGTTTGGAAAGCAGAGGAACAATCAAGTCATATTAAAAGAACTGCTAGGTTATCAAGAAAATAAATTGTATGGTCTGCCAAACAGTATCACAAATGTCATTTTAGCTTCCATCTTCTCTCCCTGCTTACACAGAATTCAAGATGTTCTCTGAAAAACTGATCTCAAGGTGTTCTAAGGGGAACACAAAGCTGAACTACAACGAATGCAAAGTTACACTAAATTTACTTGTTAAATGTACTGTTGTGCATGCAGGTTTTCTGGGGATCAAACAATGCATGCTAATCGTCAGTCCCAAGACTTCTACCTGCACCATATTCACTAGCAACAAAAACACAGCCCACCACCATAAGCCATCTGTACTTACCAACAAAACTGCTAAGTACAGTCAGTGAAGAATTGCAATGGAAAGAAAAAAATTACACTGTCTTCCACCAGTACCTCACAAACTAAAATACTAAAGCAAATGTGAATTTAGTGGAATTACTTTTCTGGAACCTGACACGATCAGCTGGCTTTAGCTGGTTTGCGGGTAACAAAGAAATGCACCACTTCTGTCTTTCTCTCTCAGACTCCTAAACACTGTCCTTGTAAATGGAACCCTAGCTTTATTTTTTCTTTGCCACAAAATCTATGCTCAGCAAGCTTCCCATGCAGTTTTCCACTAGAGATGATCAGTGGTATATTCTTTGTTATCAGTGCGATAGACACGGATAATCAGACAATTACTGTGAAGAAAGCTGTTCTTCCTGCAGTCACCCTGCTTTATAAAACTGAGCACCCAGAACTATAGAACAACATCAAACATATATATGAGGGCTGCTCCAAAAGTAATGCCTCCTGCTTTATCATGTTGGCCCACATCAGATGCAGATGTTGGTGGAACAGCAGTAGAGGCTGAACCTTCCCAGCAGTATTCCATTACATGTTGTTGCTGTGTGACAGATGGCAGTCTGACAGAATGGCATCTGACATGGAAGTGCATCAGAAGCAAAAGGGTAGAACTGAATTCTTCCATGTGGAAAAAACAGTGCCCATTCACATTCATCCAGTGCTAAAATGTCTACAGAGACCAAATAATGGATGTGAGCACAGTGAGGTGGTGGATGGTGCAATTCAGCAGTGGTGACAGCAGTTTACCTCCACTGGTGCAGATTTTTTTTTTTTTTTTTTTTTTTTTTTTTTTACCAGCATGACATGCAGTTCATCATGAAAATGCAAAGCTAATGGCAGTGGCTATGTTAAAGAATAATATTTTGTAGCTATTTGTTTTGTTACATCACAATATTGTACTCTTCATACCTGTTGTAGCTTCCATGGAAATAAATAGGAGACATTACTTTCAGAGCAACCTACATACAACTGCAATCAGTACATTTCTGACCTAAAATTCTTGAAAATTCAATTATGAGCCTGTGAAGTGGGGGCATAAGAAAACCTAATCTATAAAGCTATTGTGAATTGCTTTTTTCAAGCATTGGAAAGTGAGATACCAAAATAATGAGCAATGATGAAAATTCCAAGCAAATCTTATGAATTTTGTATTTAGAAGGATTTGGATAGGATACAATAAATAAAGGCACAGAGGAAAAACAGAATTCAGGATGAAAAAGAGTGAATGTTGCTGTCCAATGCATGAGAGCCATCCTTTGTTCTTAAGGAAATGGGCGTACCGTGCAAATAAATGCATGAGATCACGTAATTACAGATTATGTCATCACACACACATGGGAATCAATGATGATATCTCAATTTCACAGGCTTACTATTTTGGGGCAGTTTCCTGTTCAGAAGAAGTGACCACTCTACCCCACCCCTTTGAATTGTAACTGCATGGAGCTGTGTCAGAGGAAGGTCAGAGGTTGGGAGTTAGGGACAGGGTCTGTGGCAGAGGGCGGTGGGCATGGAGCAGCCTGCCAAGGGCATGGAGCATGGCCCTGAGTGCCGGAGCTCAGAGAGCCTTTGGACAGTGCTCTGACATGGGGTTTGGGTTTTGGGTGGTGCTGCGTGGAGCCAGGACATGAATTCCATAATCCTTGCAATTCCCTTCCAACTCAGGATACCCTATGATTCTATGGTACATGTTTATCCTAAATAGACAGGGATCAACAGGTTGAAGCCAACACATCCAATGGGCATGCAACACATCTGCTGTTGGCAGATTTCCACAAGCTTCACTAGCAAAGGAATGACAAGTCTCAGCAATTAGGGATTCAGGTTCCCAGTGGCCGTGAACACATATGCATGTGGAATAACATAGACCTCAGCCTCCACCACTTCTAGACTGATCGCACTAGTCTCATCCCTTTCAACCTCCAGCAGAAACAGAGTAAGGAAATAACGGAAGTTTAGAGTTTTGCCAGCATGAAAAGGAAGATTCCATGTAAAGATATCAGTGGAAGTCAGAGAATTTATTACCCAAATCCAGAGTAGCCCTATAAAATGACATCATATCTGAATTTGGGAAGTGGATTTATAGTTCACAGAATTAAAAAGCATTTAAAGAGCTTTCATTATTTATACATCTACAAGGCTATCAATAATTTAAATATCCCAGGAACACAGCTCCTGAATCAGATGCTAAGTGGTTCTCTTCAAGAGTTTTTGCAAATTCCAATGAAGTTCCAGGACACAGTGCTATACTCTATTTTTAAATAAGACATTTGTCATTCTGATCCAATAACCATACTCACGAAAACATCAAAGCTAACCTTATTCGCTTGCTAGAGCAGCAGCACCATACTTAATCACAGCTTACACTCTAGAAAACAGCCCTATGCTAGAGACAGAGGATGTCTACAGGATAGTATTGTTTTCTCCTACTACTTCAGTTAAAATTTAAGCTAGAACATCATCACCTCAGAAGCTGTAACAATTCCTAGAGACTAAATACAAAAATCCGAGGTATTACAGTCAGAAATAAGAACTGAAGAAGAAAAACAACCTTTCTTTGTCAAAGTAGCAGTAACAGAAGCTATTGCAGTTGTTTTTGTTCATCAGACCTCAAAACAAACATCAAACCTGCAAGCAGCCAGGCTTGCTTTCTTTGGATACTGCTCAAACTGGCCACTGACTCCAATTTCATCTTGCTATCTCAGCAATCCAGGAACAGAAATCCTTGCAAGTACAAATTGAGTATCAAGGAAAAGATCTTGTACAAATTTAATTCTTCTGTGCACGCAAAGAGAAAATTTAGTTGTGAGATTTATATTTATATAAATCAGTGCATATGGATTTTGCTACCTATATGAAATGAGCATAGGAAGCTCATTAGGTATTAGAAGATATCCAGCAGCATTAAGTTAAACCATTAGTGCTAGTATCTACATACTAAGTAGATAGCATTCTCTACAGAAAGGGTGCATCACTTCCCATTAGAAAGGGGTGCCTCACTAATAATTGCATAAGTTTATCACCAAATAACATCTTTGTTTTTATTTCTAAAATTACTTAAGACAGAGAAAGAGAAATCAACAGATGACCTGGAGAAATCCAAAGTGATTCAAACGAATTCAGGATTACTCTTTCAGATTATGAGTTGGAGTGTCTCAGGGGTCAGAAAAACAGTACTTATCCAACTTCTCCAGCAAAAGTCTCGTAGCATAACTGAAGAAGAGTTATAGTATGCACCTACACATATCTGTTTTATCTCATGCAACCTTTATAACAGTCCACTCAAATGTTTACAACCTCAGAAAAGTTGATTTAACCCTGGGTCTCAAGACACTGTTTCTACAGAATATACAGACATTGGTTTCCTTCCATCTGTTGCAGCTTCAGGTTAAACACACAAGCACACGCATGTATAAGAAGAATTCATCTGGACCTAGAGGTGTTGCAAGCTCAGGCCTTTAAAATACCTTGACTTGGGTATATATTATTTCTTACTCTCTGTGGTCACAGGCATTTCATAATGCCAATCAACAGAAAGAACGTGCAGATCTATTCACCCCTTTATTGGCAGCAATGCAACATTCTGCTATTCTCAGCCAAAGACGAGGGTTCGAGTGATAAACCTGGACGGCCTCAGTCAGGCATTCAAAGGCAGCTAAGGGCCTCCCAATGTGCAGGAGCTGAATTCCACAATTGTAGAGCAACTCATACCGTTTGTTAGTCAGCAGCATACACATGGGTCTCCCTGAAAATTTCTTACCTGCACAAAAGGATACATCACATATTGGATGTGCAGCTTGGGAGAGCTGAACAAATAGTAGGATAAGGCGGCAAGAGCAGAAGCAGGAAGGGGGCTGTGGGAAACCTCCATAAACCAAATAGCAACTAAACCAAAACACAAAAACCGACTTTCATTATAGAAATCAGCTAAACTCCTTCTGTAAGCAAATTCATCCCTCACTAAAGCTCAAGATAAATTCACTGTGTTTGCAATAAAGGTTGAAGTAAACTAAATGTTAACCACTTATGTACTTTGTCACCTGAGTTAAGTGTCATGTAATACCACTGAATTCCACTAAATTTATGAGAACGTGCATCTTTTTCAGTCTTGGAAATTCCAGAAGAAATCTACTTTGCTGTTAAGAAGTAGAAAACATTTTCTGCCTTCACACTAGTAAATAGGACTACAAAAGCAAGGAGAAACAGCAAAAATAACAAAATGTGTGATAAGAACTAGTTTTTAAAGAAAATAAGAAACAAACAAATTATTATTTCACCATTAAATCATTTCGGAGAGAAAAAAACTTGAGTGTTTCTACTCAAAACAAGAAAACTTTTTATAATGTATATAAAATAGGAACACATTTCAAAACAAACGGAACAGGAATTTCACTGGTAATTACTAAAAGTCTACAAGATTTATTTTCTTGATTTGCCCACCCCTTTTCCACCACCTATTTTCATCTCTTACAAGTTGTCACGGAGTTGACATAGAACTATGACCCAAGTCTTACCTGGATCTGAGCTACCTGTTCCTAGCTGTGCACATGCGTTATCGTTTTCTTGTAAGGCTTTTTTGAAGTAAAAAATTCCTAAATTGTGCTTTCCCATTGCAAAGTGGATGCAGCCAAGATTGTTCCAAAACATGCACCGTAAGCATTCACCTGAGGGAACAGAAAAGACTACTTTTATAAACTGAAAAAAGTCACTGAGTTGACAAAACATTCCCACCACTCTCGTGGGTCAGCAAGATGTTCAAGGATTATGAAGTTACGTCACTGCCTCCAGTATTTTAACAACCTGCCTTTCTGCTTATCATTCTGTTTCTCCTGGACACTTTGTCCAAAGTGATCCATGGGTAAAGACCAAAGACTTTCAGATCTTATGGCACCATGTTCCAAGACACCCAGGTAGAAAGCTAATTTGACATACTGCAACTTGAAGCAAGTTTATCTGTAATTTTTCATAGTATTTAGAGTATATAAACATTTCTCTTTTTCCAACAGATGGCTCTTGTAAAAAGGAAATTCTTTAATGACATTATCTACCTCAGTTTTATAAAATAAACAAACTTGTTAACCTCACCATTCAAAGAGGAAACATACTCTCCTTCAGAAATATATCATGTTCAGACTAACACTGAAGAAGCTTCTTCCACACAATGGCAAAAAAAACAAGTGTTTGACTTATCTGCTGATAACTGAAGCTTTACCAAGTTACCACTATTTAAAAAATAATCATCAATAAAATCATAGCACTAAAAAAAAATAAGAAAATAATAAAAAAAATATATCAAAGCAACCAAAAACAAGAACATTTTTGAACAAATTAGCCTTATGTTATTTTAATCATAACTTGAGAAGACAACTAAGTGAACATTCTACTGTTGCTTGTGTAAAAAAAAGTAATTTGAAAATAAAACTTGTTATGAATGGCACAGAAGGACTTTCAGGAATCCATTTTCTCAGTCACTACGTTGTCTAAATGACCATTCAGTGAAAGCCACAGCATTGTTAATTGAAGGAGTGCAGCAATAAAGCGGAACATGTACTCAATATAAATCCATGATGCTTAGGGCCTGCTGCTTTAAGTAATCCTTTATGTCTTTAAAGTTAGTATCAATAAGTAGTTCTGTTTGTACCACATACATAAGTACTCGCAGGATGAAAGCTTTCTATTTTATTTTACCTGTTTTCATGAAGCCTGGATGTTCAGCAATGTTTGCACTGTTTAAAAGTTTGACTGCTTTACGGTAATTGCCCCTCAAATATTCAAAATTGCTCTTAAGAAAGAGAGAAGGAGCTGACTGTAAAGAAGAAAACAACAGTTAATTCTCTTTTTTTTTTCTTTATCATTAGATTTCTCATGCTAGATCAGCTTGCCCCTGCTACCATTTTAAGAATACACGGGCTTAGCCTCCAATGATTTCATGAAGTAACATTTCTTTGAATACTCAACCTCTCCTGAAATGCAGAACTAGTTTTTTTTGTTTGGTTTCTGCTTCAAAACCAAATATTATGCTGAAGAGCTCTGTCACAGCAGTGGCTAAGTACAGAGGATCTCCCTTTTGCTTTAAAAGGCTCTTTCTCCAACCTGCCTTCTAATACACTCCCCTCCACACTTCCCTCCCTGTGGAGCTCAACAACTTCCTCCTGAGCTGTGATTCTCCTGGCCTGCCAAAAGACACATCATGACCCAGAAAGACTTCTATCAAACCAGTACCTGTTGAGACTGGCAACAAAATGCAAGTGCTCTCCTCCTACTCCCTGATCCTCGGTTAATGCAGAACATACATGGCATGGTGGACACAATGCTGAGTTGAGAACTCCTATACAAAAGAAGAGACTGCCTTCTAGCAAGAGATAAGCCTCCAAAACAACTTCAAAAATTACAAAAGAAAAAAGACAACACACAAAACCCCCAAATATTGAAAACCCCCAAATTAATCTTGCTAAAGTGGTTTTGCTCAGCAGTGACATCAGAAAATTTTATTTCCCAGAGCATTTATGGTTAACTATAGCTTGCTTTGCACTGCTCAAATTATAAATTGTATTTAACCAGTCTACTGCACAGCATTTCATTGTTTTTTTTTTATACTGTTAACAACAATGTGCAACTTCCTGAGCAATTTAAAGTCCTGTATTAAATACACTTAGAGAAAATAGATTACAAACCCAACTGATTGCATACAGCACTATTTCAGACATCCATCCTCAGGAAGACCTTTCCTTGTAAAGTAAGTTACCAAATCCAGTTTTAAGATAGGGAACAGACCTAGATTACAAAAACAATAGCTTTAAGAATACTTACATTTCCAGCTGTATTCATAACAGACTTGATCTCCCTTTTGCATGCTTTTAGTGACTTCATCTGGATATAGGCTCTCACCTTATACTGTTTAAAATTAAATTTGTTATATTAGAAACAGTAACTTGTGCAGGTTTGCAAGATGGACCATGCCTAGAGATTTATGATAAAACTTCCCACATCGTAAAATAGGTAGTAAAAAGCTGATCACAAAGTCCTTCCAAGGAAGAATTTCTATTCAGAGTATCAGCAACAAATTCATAGAGTTCATATTTACAAGAGGCAAACGTGCATTTTGTTCAATGGCCGACATTCAACAGCTCTACATTCAAATGCCAAAACATCAGCACATAAAACAACAAATTAACTAAAATAATTCAACGTGTGAATTCCAGACATTTACCTGTTCAACTGACAACACCAGTAAGTGAAAGGTGATAGTGAAGCATTTTGTTTCTTCACCCAAAGAGCAGTACTGGGAAATAAAACCTCAGTGATTGAAACTGTCTTGCAGTCAAACAGACGTAAGATTATCAGAGCTAAATGCAATTTAACAAAATTATTTTAAGACATAGGGACTGAAATTGGAATTTTTTTAGGTCAGTTTCTCCTGGACATGAATCTTAAAAGAGGAAAAGGTCAGTTAAATCCATTTTTCTGATCTGCAAAATGAAATTTAAGGTGACAATATCACAATTTATGCTGAGCTAGGTTTGAGGCAGGTGGCACTCAGTTTTAAGAAGGACTGAATGGATATTCTTATGTAAATCACATACATACACCCACCTGATGTATCTTAGATTTAGCAACTTCTATTAAAGCTCCACTTTCAGCTTTTTGATTGGAGGAATCTTTATTTGTATTATTACCTGACTGTCAAAAAAACAAAACAAAACAACAACAACCAAGAAACAACAAAAGAGAAGTGTTAACAGCGTAAGAAGAAAACTGTAAACTGAATTTAAAAGGTGATTGGTAAATATAATCTCTTTTAAGGAAGAAAATCAGTATTCAATAATGTTAAAAAAAAAAACCACCACAAAAACATCCATATATTCCACACAAAAATTGGGACTTGAGGTTTGCAATCAAAACCAAAGAATGAGCACATCAGCCTACAAAGTGCAGAGCTCTGTATGAAGGTAGTGTTACTCTAATCTGCTCTAATCTGCTCTAGCACTGAGCAATTTTAAGAATGCTCTTATCCAGAAAGATAATTTGCATGCTCCTGATTACCTTTTCCGTATTTTCTCCAGTAGAACTATTATATGCTCAAAGTTTTATTGTGTGATGTTACATCAACTGGAGAAGTGTCCACTTTTTACTTCCAACTACTCATTCTATTGTAGTTTCCAAAATGTATATATTGAAAACTGCATTTGAAAGTCTGCCTCATACTTCTAGGCACTAACTTAAAGGAATGTTTGATTTCTCAAACAGTCTTGGATGATGACTGTGGCACTAGCTGTACTTCCTCTCTGACACTGACATTTCACACATGGAGTATCACACAGTCATCATCCAAGACGCATAAGGAAAACCTAGTAAATCTGGCACTGAAGACAACTGACTTTCTAATACAAGTCTCTGACTTGAGACACTTCTTAGTTTTGACAGAAAAAGGGTGGAATGGAGAGAACATACAGCTACTGTACACAATTCATTTGGTTGCTAAAATGTATCAGTTGTCTGAAGTTACAGACATTCTAACAGTTTTTAAATTTTGAAGTATTTTAAAAGACTACTTTTGGATTTAATAACAACATACCTTTAGTAAAGACAGCGGCATTCGTATGACTTTAAGCTTACCTCATTTTTCCCATTCTTGCTGTTATTGTTGCCCTGTGAAATCATTTTTTCCAGAACAGCAAGGAGATGCAAGACCTTCTCAGCCTGGTAAGTCAGCAGGTACAAGTCCACAAGCAAGAAGCACACAGCCTGGGCAAACTTCTCTTCTGTATCAAATAAAAGAAGTAGAAAAGATCTTACTGTTCTGATACCAATCCATCCAAACACAACCACAGGACAAAAAAAAATAAATAAATAGAAAAACTATTTAAGAAAAGTGCATATACAAAACATCATGAGAAAAATCAGAATATGACATAAGAAAAAAGATAAAGATGCCGACACCCCTATCACACAGATGAGTATTTTAACACAAAGAGGTAATTCCTTCATACTGATGTCATTTGAAAGCAAAGGCCAGAGACAGCTTAAAATGCACTTCACATTGATTGATTCTGAGAACTGGTCTAAGTACATTAGCACCAAACATCCAGTGTGGGCCAAATGCCTACACAGAATCTCACAGAACTTAAGGATTCCATACAAACACATCTCTGCATGGCTGGTTTCACAGAGTAAGCTCCACATAAGCATACTGAGAACTGAGAGAGAAACAGCATTACACTTATGGGATTTGTTGGGACCCCCCCCCCCCACAAACTTCATCCCTGTCGCTTCATAAACACCTCTTGAAAGTTGTCAAATATCTGCTTTGGTTTTGTTACACTCATCTGCTAAATGTCTCTGAAGCACTTTCCACCCAAATGCAAGCGTTGTCCTTGTAAGTAAAGATTACTCATCATTCCTAAGCCTGTCTTTTTTTATTATTATTATGTACATTTACAAATCACTTTTCTGATAAGCAGAGGAAGATCATTTACTCTGCCTCATTACTGCACAAACAAAACTCTTCTGCCTACACACCGAAAGGCTCTATAAACTGGTACAGCTTCTCTCCAACTGATACAGCTTCAGTATACTGACGCAGATGATACAAAATAACAGCTTGATTGTAGTTGAGAACAGTATGCTTTACATCATCTAAACCATCCATTTCTTCTACAGCAGAGTGAACCTGAAAAAAAAACAAACAACACAGAACAGAACCTTGTTTATCCTTAAGCTTTCCATACTTCTGATTTTAAAGCATCAAATGTTTATTTTAGAAAAATAACCCACAGGTACTAATTAGCCTAAAGATAGGGCAGTAACAGTTATAAGCTAATAAAAGGAAGAGGCAAACCTTGCCTTCCTATTTCATTGGAAGATCCCATTACCATTAGCAGTGCTTAAATATCAACATTCCATGCAGTGATTACCTGGTTCTTCAGCTGGTTCAGGGTTTGTCTCAAATTGTCAGTTGTGGTCTGGTTACTTTTACAGAACTCCGCAACTGCAGTATTCAAAGTTATTTTGTAGTCATCTTTGTTTATGTCTTGAAGGTTATTTAAGTGTTGCAAACAGGCATCATAATTTCCAGCCTGGAAACAGCATGTATCTGAAAGGGATTAGTTTAAACTTTGTATCTTTTAAAAAGTCAACAATTTTTAATGGCAGACTCCTCCTCTCTCTGAGTCTAGAAAGCAATGTAGGATTTCCCCGGCCAACAGGGATAAACAGCTCCACATAAAACTTCATTTGTTATGCAGACTGATATGTATGAGAAGCAAGTCAGAAAGTTGAGGTCCTAATTGAAATTGAAAAAGAATTTGGTGGAGGAAGAACAAATGGAATAGTTAACTACTACAAACATGTTTCTATGAAAACTGTTATTCTGATGGTTTCAATCATATCAAGCTTCAAGATTCTTTATTTCCTCAGTTTTCAGAATCTGTCTCCATCAAATGTACATTGAGCAGCTGCTTGTCTAATTCCTGGCCCATCTTTATGTTCATCTCTCACTTCATCTTGAGAGACTGAGTTACAGTTTAGCCCCTGGATGTCTGCTTAACACAGCTTGGCAGAAGAGGAGGGTTACACTCCTTTCCTAACTTTCCCAAGATAGGCTTAATTGGTGCTGCTGAATGAATTATTCAAGAATACTGCACTTGACTAAAAACAAGTACAGTGCTCCTCTGAAAAGTGATTTAATGAAGAAATCCCTTTCTTTGACCTCAGAAACAAGAAAACTAATTTTAAGGACTTCAAAATATCTCTTCTCTTTCAGTTTTTGTCTTTCCTGTGTTTGTGCAGGAGGAATTTAGTAGCATTGAATAATGAAAGAACTCTGGACCGTCTCAACTAAATGAAGCCTTAAATCATTCTTTGCTTTCTACTGTTCAATTCATTTACATGAATAATCATCTTCACCTCTGCCAGATCAGGACAGTTTCCATTTACACATGTAGAATCATTTCCACACGTCAACATTTCACAAGCTAAAGCCATTCTCCTGAGTACCACCATCGCTCCCCACTCTCTACTCCTTTTCTAAGGCGCTGTTCCACTGAGGTTCTCTTGAACTCCTGTTTGAGAAAAGCACTGCAGCAAAGAAACACTCCATGGTCCTTCAGCAGAAACCCAGTCCTCTGCTTCCCTAACAAAGCAGCCATTCCGTGGCTACTCTCAATAGAACCATCCCAGACCCTTCGCTCTGCTTTGAAAGCAGAGTTGTGCAGTTTGTGGAAAGATACTGCACGTTGTTGTCCTGCTACATTTCCACAACTCTATTAGATGATTACTGAGAAGGTATAGAAGCACAGGGACTTATACAGCTCCTTTAAATCCTTTATCACAACATTATTAGCTTTTAGCAATCAATTGTTCAGAGAGACCAGGTTTTTCCGAAGTTGACTCAGAGTACCAGCCCATTTTTAATTAACTCATCATACTGCTTTTATAGCTACTGATTTTGAGAATCAAGAGTAAACGTGCTCTTAAACACTTTGTTCAAACAAACGCTGTAACAGACAGAAAACAGTATCTGGGTTCCATCAGAAGAGGGGTGGCCAATGGGGTGAGAAAGGTGATTGTTCCCCCTCTGCTCTGCCCTTGCAAGGCCCCATCTGGAGTACTGTGTCCAGATCTGGGATCCCCAGCACAGGAAAGATGTGGATCTTTTGGGGAGGGCCCAAAGAAGGGCCATGAAGATGATCAGAGGGCTGGAACACCTGTGAGGACAGGCTGAAGGAACTGGGCTTGTTCAGCCTGGAAAAGACTGTGGGGCAGCTTTCCAATATTTAAAGGAAATTCATAAACATGAGGGAAATTAACTTTCTACAGAGGTAGACAGGACAAGGAGGAATGGATTTAAAGTAATGGAGGGGAGATTTAGATTAGATGTCTGGGGAAAGTTTTTCACTGAGGGTGGTGAGGTGCTGGAAAAAGCTGCCCAGAGAGGCTGTGAATGCCCTGTCCCCAGAGGTGCTGAAGGCCAGGCTGGATGGAGCCCTGGGCAACCTGATCTGGTACTTGATCTAGCAGCTGGCAACTCTGCACGTGGCAGGAAGGTTGGAAATTGGTGATCCTTGAGGTCCCATCCAACCCAAGCCATTCTACGATACGATTCTATGATTCTATGAAAATGTACATGCTGGCTTTGTAACGCAAGCATTGATTTTAGTATCATAACTTGCTAATATATTCTCAGCCATGCTAAAAAAAAAAAAAAAAAATGCTACAAGCTAGTTTAGCAGTTATGTGGTAGATGAGAAGTATGGGTTTGGCTGCATCTTACCAGAAAGGCTTGCAATGCACTGCTCGACAGCTCCTTCTCCTGATCAGTGATCCCTGAAGTACCCGCTCCATCATGCTTCTCAGCACCTTGGTCTGACAAAGGATGAGAGAAAAGTAAACACAACAGAAGTAATTCAGCTCAAAAAGCACTGTGCCAGTTCTCAGGACCCTCCTACCAGCAGGAGTAGCTTCCCACATAACTGTAACACTGTTGCTCTATTACACAACAATATTTCCAGCTACCCAACAACCCTACTGTGCTGAAAATGAATGCATTTTAGATTTCTCTTTAAAGCTGCATCAGACAGCAGGAATAGACTTTATAAACTTATAGTGAAGACCACCTATCATAAGATGAGCAAGTATCCCACTGCACTGGATTAAAACCCATGCATCCTATGTGCTGCTTCCTGAGCAGCAAGCAACAGACGCTTTTAGGGAACAACATGAAAAATACAGTATAACTACAGTTGCAGTATTTTCTCTATGTTCCCTTCTAGATGAAGACCAGTACAGCATGTAGGGCTTTTTGGTTTTTTGTTTGTTTGGTTTTTTGTTTTTTTGTTTTGCTTTGTTTTTGTTTTGTTTTGTTTTGTTTTTTGATGGTTTGAGCACTTATACAGTAATCTAACAAGATTTTGATTGTCTTCAATTTCTTTGATACACTGAAAATTCAAAACCAGAACAACCAGCATCGCACCAGCCTGGCTTGTATCTGGAAACATCAGCTCTTATGCTCATATAGTGTTTTTGAAACAAAGATTACACACATGCAATGGTTTCCACTGCTGCAGATAACTAATTATCACAACAGAGGCTTTGCTTGAGCCCACATTTTGCCATGTTAATGGGTACGGTGGGCACTGCATATTCAATGTCTTTCTCTTCCCAGAATTAAAGGATGTAATGCAAACTCTGCTAACTTTGTTTTCACACCAAACGAATGAAAACACCCCTCTATGAACTCCACCACAAAACCCACTCCCCATCAGCACCAACATTCCTGAATCATCTGCTACTCCCTGCCTACAAACACGTAAAATTTATTTATGAAGACGGACAGCAATAATAACCAGGCCTAGGGACATTCCTGGGGTAACATCCACGGCAGGATCAGAACAGAGTCACTAACCAGTTCCTGGGCTGTACTTCCTGCAGGGGAAACCACCATCCTATGCAATCATACATTTCAGCAAAACTATATTTGTTGCTTGAGGCTTTCATCCTGCATCAGGACGCCCGTGAAGTTGAGATGTTAAATCTCAACCACAGCAACAGCTGTGATTTGGACAAAACTCAGCAATTCCAGCACTCGGGAGGGCTGGACCCTTAGGGTGCTACAGGACTACACACACCTGCTATGAAATCTGACTGCACATAATGCATTCAGCAGTGGAACCTTTTCCATAATGAGAGAGAAAACAAGCATCAAAAAAGTTCAGAAAGCTTTGACATGCCACAGTTTTCTCACAGAGAGAAAGGAAAGGAACAAGAAGCATCTCTCCTCATGCTAAACACATAATAGATCTGACTCCTTAATATTTATGGTACAGAACCCATTGACTTTCAAGGACCTTTTTAACAGCAGTGAAGAAATAAACACATTTTCCCTCCAACTATCATGCTGACAGATAAGTTATCTGCTTTACTTGCTCACCGGGCCTTCAAGATTACACCAGCACAAGGAACAACAATGCAGAGATCTGAGAATCCAAACCTCGGGAAATTTCTAATGTTCAGCCTGGCCAGGAGCTGCCCACATATACAGGTTGAGCTTTGTGTAGGGCCAGCCAAAGCTACAGTACTGGGTACTGCCTCTGTCTGCAAGCAGATCAAACAAGCAATTTGGTGCTCGTGAATCTCAAAGTAATATGTCTGCAGTTAAGCAAACAATCAATGAAAGAGACTGTTAGCTGTCTAGGAAACATGCCACTTACACCCTGCATGGCATATTTCCTAGGGAAGCATCAAGGCAGGTCTACAGACTTCACTATGCCTCTATACGATATGTTTAAAGACAAAAATGAAACCTGGGACTGTTTTAAACAATGCAGGGCTGTTCTTTCTCCTACAAAGTCACTTTTATGGCTGTAAACTGAAGAGTTGCATCTACTCTACAAATTACCAGAGACAGCGCATTTGTAAATATGAACTGGAAGCTCTTAAGAACAAACCCAAAGTCCAGCTAAAATAGCTGACAGCACAGCTCCTTCCTGCAACAAAACCACTCTGGCTGCTCTTCAATCCCTTTGCCCAAATATGCTTGAAACCTGTTGAAGAGCTGAATGTCCCTCTAATATACAGCAATCCTAACACTCGTGTTTAAAGGAGGACTTCAGCTGGTCTTCATCACTGAGACATCTCACCAACCGGCTACCTAAGAGCTGCCTGGTGCCAGATGCTGGAAGCACCCACTTGAACTGGGAGGAGGAAAGCACTCCTGCTCTCTTGACTACGGGGCAAACAGGTCAACCCAGGAAACCCCTTAAAACCAGCTTGGGATTTCATCTGCAGAAGGCAGATGAGTTAGCAATAAAAGCAGCAGGTCGTAACGTTATTTCCATGGCTGGCAACGTAGGGACAGTCCAGGAGAAACACCACATACATATTCTGTTCTGCTCTGCTCTGTTCTGCTGTGTGTAAGAGGGCAGCCATTCCCACCAGAGCAGCAGCAGCGTGCTGGACAACAGGATGTGTGGGAGAGCGGTTGGAGTGGAAGGCAGGGAGAGCACAGGATTGCCGCGTGGGAAGGGAGACTGCCTGCCCGCCGGCCTGCTGCTGCAGCACCAGCTGGCACCTCTCCCACACTCGCAGGCCGGTTGATGCCCGGAGCGCCGCAGCTATTCTCCTCACACCTGTTAGCTGCACCTCCATGGGCCGCAGCCCCCAGGCCCTCTCGTTCCCAGGCCCTGTACATCCCGCACAAGCCGTGCTGTTGAGCACTTCACTGCACACATCTGCGGAGCACTTTATTTCCCGAAGCAGGGGATAATCGCTTCTGGGACGGAGAAGAACCTCCCACACGGCTCCGGCGGCCGCCGCTCGCCCCTTCCGGCCAGGCTGACGGGGACGGGACCGAGGCGGGCAGACCGCGGGCTCAGCCGGTCGGACGGCCGCCCGCCCGCCGGGCGCTACTTCCTCGGCGGAAGGACAACGCAGCAGCAGCACGCCCCTTGCCTTCCGTGCCGGCACTCACCGCCCCAGCGCGAGAGCGTATCCCTCCGCCCGGGCCCGCGGCCGTTCTCCCCGCTCACCCGCAGCCTTGTCCGCCGCCATCTCTGCCGCCGTCGCCGTGCGATCCGAGCGCGCCAAGCGGGACGAGGCCCTCTCCTGCTCCGCCGAGCGCCGCCCGCTCCTCCACCGAGCGCCGCGCCGCCTGCGGGACTACTTTTCCGCCAGTCTCCTCCGCGCCGCTTCGTCCCTATTCGCTCGCCGCTTCCGGGTTGCCGGCGCCCGCCGACGTGCGCCCGTTGCCGGGGCCCGCGTCTGACGTCAGGCCGCCCCCGCGCCCCCCCCCCCCCCCGGGAGGGGCGCTGTGCGCATGCGCCTCGTCGCCTTGCTGTGTCCCTGGGCCGCCATGCTGCTGCGCTCACCCGGTGCCCGGGAGTGTCGGGCTGGTGGGGATCTCGCGCTGTAAGGGGATTTTCCCTTCAGAAGCCGGTATCGAAGCGCTCGTCTTTGCTAGGACCTCTGTAGGCTCAGCAGTCCTGACCGCAGCCTGGAAGAGGGCCTGAGGCAGTTGGCGTCGGTTCTCTTCTGAGAATGTGAGTTCCCGTCAGTGGGCTCCCCGTGCGGCACCATCACACCGCAGTTCCATCACACTGCACTTCCTGTCAGATGCTGCCTTTAGGACTTTGCCGTCTGTTAACATAGCAGTACTTTTTTGTGTTGTGTATCCGGGTCTGGTTCTCCAGGACTTCCCCTCCTTCCTCATTTACATTGAGTCACTTCACTGCTCGTAACTGTAAGTGCAGATATACCCAATTCTGATCACTAGATTCTACCTTATATGATTTTGATATTGTTACCAGCTGTCAACATTTGCTAAGACAGACCAGGCAGTCTAAAGCAAACCACCTCTTACGTGCCTGTTGAACATTCAATAAGGATTTTAGGATGAAATTTATCCTTGGGGAAGTGGACAACAGAACCAGTTTAGTGGAAGAATTTCCTGCCAGAATCACAGAATCACTAACATTGGACAGACCGCTAAGATCACCTAGTGCAAACGCTAGCCCATCCCTGCCATGCCCACTGACCACATCCATCAATGCCACAACTTGAGGCCGTTCCCCCTCATCCTATTGCTGTTACTTGGGAGCAGAGGCCGACCCCCACCTCACCACAGCCTCCTTTCAGGCAGCTGTAGAGAGCGATCAGGTCTCCCCTGAACCTCCTGCAGACTGAACAATCCCAGCTCCCTCAGCTGCTCCCCATAAGACTTGTGCTCCAGATCCCTCACAGCTTTGTTGCCCATCTCTGGACGCACTCCAGGGCCTTGATGTCCTTCTTGCAGTGAGGGACCCAAAACTGAACACAGCATTTGAGGTGCAGCCTCACCAGTGCCAAGCACGGAGTTTAGATCACCTCCCTGCTCCTGCTGGCTGCTCTATTCCTGACACAGGCATCCAGCTGCTCTGTTTTCCCTAATGCTACTCTCTGACACAATGCAGAGGGAGGTTTGTAAGGAAAAGTGATACTTTGTTTAACAAAGGGATAGAGTTAGAAAGAATTTAACGCGCATACAACTCCAGGGGCTCTGAATGCCTTCAAACCATGAGAGCTTTTTATGAGCCTGTGTAAAATGACACATTTTTGACAACACTAGTTGAAGAATTTCAAGAGTACAGTGATTTTCTTTTCATAATTCTGAATACTCCAACCTGTGCTTAATGACTTCTATTAATGACAACGCCTACAGTTCCTCTTCAGTTTACCTGGATTGTCTGGCTTTCTTTTGGACATATATGCATATATGTGAGAAAATCCTACAATCCTTAAACACAAATACTTTATTTCAAGCCTCTGAATTTGTTGTATTTCTTTTGTGAGAAACAGCTGCTGGCCCAGGCTGTCAGCCCATGTTTTTGTTAAGAACATCTGCCAATAAAGTTGTAACAGCCAGCCCTCCTAATGTGTGTGTGTATTTACTAGTGTTATTAATGATTTATGCTGGTATGTTTGATAAGCAATAGAGCCTATAAAAGTAAAAGCACTTTGCTTGCCAGTATAACTGTATTCTGACTGACTTTTACCAAAGCAATAAAGCTGCCCCAAATCCACACCAACAGCAGGAATGTCTGATGTGGAGAGAGGCTCCAGCCTCTCTTTAGATTGGGTACAGTGTTTTTGCCAGTGCTAAAACAGCCTGGTAGTTTAGTAGACAACCTGGTAGTAGAGCGTTTTGCACTGACACAGAGAGGCACCACTGTGAATTTACTGCTCCCTGCTATACTTTTGCTTTGACAGTCCTGTCAGAGCTCATTCAGCCTGAAGTATGGCAGCACCGGTACCCAGCTTTGCATCTCTTCTCCATCATGACATCAGGAGGACAGTCATTTAGTTTACTTCATCCCTCATGCTGTCAGTGTACTGCAGGATACTTACAGCATCCCGAGGGATATGTACAGCAATTGTTTGTCACATCTGTGGCTTATGTTTCCAAAATGAAAATGTTTATCCCCTTTCTTGTCTAGTTTCCCCCTTTCCCGCCCCCCCCCCCGTGTGGGGTGGTTTTTTTTTTTTTTCCCTCCAGTATGGATTCTTTAAAAAAAGGAACTTGTCATGAATAATTTTTTTTTCCCTCCTTCTTATTACTAATCAAATCTTATGAAGAGACCTGCCCTTTGTGCAGTCCAAGCATACGGTCATGCGATCAAAAATGTTGTTGATATTTTTTCTTGAAAAATTAATATAGCAATAACATCAGTACCTTCCTCCAAGGATGAGGGAGAGAAGTTCTTGAGTACACAGATGTACACTTTGCATTATTCTGCCTGAGGATCTCGGCAAGTGAGCAGACAGTAGAACATGCATCTGGTTCCAGCGAGGCAGGTACGCCACCTGCTGAAGAAGATACAGAATAAAATCAAATGTCCTTTGAGAGAATAAAAAGCATGTTAAAAAAATAATTATATATATATATGATATATATATGATGTATACATACATAATATTATATATACATGTGATATATATATCATATATATATTATATTTTATATGTATATATATATTTAAAACTCCCATTTTGGAGTTTTCATTTTTCAGGAAAGAAATAATCACAGTTCATTCAAGGCTTTCTTTAAGTCCTTGCATACTCAAAACCAGTAAGACTGCAATCCTGTCCCCAGCCTTGCAGCAGCAGATAACATCCCTGCTGATCACATACAAGCAAAACCTGGCTCACAGGGGAGAAAATCAGGATCTACAACATCCTCCATCACTGCTGGGCTTCAAAGAAAGGTAAGAGTAGAGCCAGCTCCAAAGGGAACTGTAAAAACTACAGTTCTTTGGCCATATACAACAGTATAGAAGTCTTGGCAGCATTTTGTCTTGCTAAGTTCCAAATTACAGGTGATTGGGTTAACACCTATCCTGCTACTAACAGGACTTCGTATCTCTTGCCCCTCTAAACCTTAGAGGCGTCCAACCCCTAGGTGGCACTATGCAATAAAACAAAGCATGTTCCAGGACTGCATTTCCCCCTGCAGATGGAGTTCTTATTTAAAATGTAAAGTGTGTAAATGTAAGTACATTGAATGCAGTTATTAGTCTCAGCTTGGTAATCCTCTTTTTCTGAATCTGTCCATCAAAGCCAATAAAATATATCTTTTTTCAATACAGTATTTGCACCTTCAGAGTACTATGGAATATATTTACCTGGAAAATGATGGTGTATTGCAGACTTGCCATTTTTATTCTGTCCGCAGGCAGGTAACAAACCAGGATGGGCTGTGTCTACTTTAGCAACTCACTTGGAGCAACAGGAGCAGGCTTGATGGCTGTAAGAAGCTGTGCTGAGGTCCTTCACACCCCTGGCACACTCACACATGTTGGTTTAGGCCAGGTGGGAACTGGCCCAGTACCATTACACATTTTGGAACTTCATGGGGCAAAGTCCTCACACCAGACATCCCCAGCTGTGGGACTGCTGGGAAGCAGCATGTTCTGTTCGGATCTGCCTCATGTATGTCTGTTCCACACCAGGCTCCAATGTTCTCGCAGGTAGAAGCCAGCTAACTTCTTTCACTCCTGCTATCTGTGACAGACACCAGTGTATTATTTCTGCTTCTGCTCCTTGCTGACACTGGAACTTGCAATGGTGGTGGTGAGGGAGGAATGGTGGATTCAGCCTGCAGCCACAGCAGCAGTGCGAGACAAACACCTCGAGCAAGGCCTTCCAACACCTTCTTCAACAGACACAAGGAGAGGCAGGACATCTTCCCAGCAACATTTACCATGTGGATGAAGAGCCTGGGAGATGAGCCGAGGCAGATGGGGCTTCACCATTGCTGAGGGTGTGATGGAGCAGGGCATACAGAGCTCCTGGGAGCCAGGATACCATGGGAAAACAGATCAATGGGGTTGGAAGCCATTAAAGAGCTGGTGCCACCACAGCCTCAATACACTTCTGTGATTCCCCTTTTGAAAAGATGTTCTCATTTTTTTTCCTTCAAAGCATACAGCGCCTGGTAATTAATTCCCCTGTGGCATCACCTAACTCCTCCACTTCATATATATCTGCTCTGATTCTGCTTGCTTATGGTACTGTTACATGTTTTCTCTCCACCTGTCTTTCATGATAGCTTCACAGTCTTTTTCTATTAATGGATTTAAATCTTGGGACCACCTGAATTGTGTTACGTTCTCTGACTTTTCTACAATAGAGAACACATATTTTTATAGAATTCCACAACTTTTCTCCTTTCTGGTGTCATCCAGAAGAAATCTGTGCATCCAGTTAGAATTCTCTAAAAATCAATGTGGTCAAGGAAGGGAAACTGTGAAGACTGCATTCTGGGTTCTTCACTTTCCTGTAGAGAAGGCTAGCCTAGAGCTGGTGAAAGTTTGATGTCCACTTCAAGCCTCAAATTGACAGAAGAGACTTTATTTCAACAGGATTCTGAACCAAACTGATTTATTCACCACAGTAAGATGTCTGCTTGATGTATGTGTTTAGGTCCAACACATCAAGCACTGCTCTATGCCCTTCCACATCACAGAGCACTTTGACCTCAAGATGTAGAAAGAAAATATGCTCTGTGTTGACTCTGAGGCTTGGAGCAAACATTGGCTCTTCAGTCCAGCCTTAAGCACTCATCCTATGCCAGCATAAGCTAACATACGGACTGCAGGAAGCCCAACACTCAATGCCCTTGGTATTGCAAACGTTAGGAAGCTGGTGTTTGGTGAGAAATTGTTATGTGTCCAAGCAGAAAAATATCTATACATCAGAAAAGATATGTAAATTCTTACTAATTGCATGTTTTTCATAGTTATTATTCTCAGCATTTCTCCATATAGCAGGAAGTGATGGTTTCTTTCCTGAGACATTCCAGGCAGTTCTTTTTCTCTTTAAAGGTGCAAATGAAGCATTTTGCTGATTAACACTATGATTTGTTGAAAAAGCCAAAGAATGGGTTCAATACAGTTCTTGTACATTGACATAGTGCAGTAATTCTTTGTGTATGTTCTCATTAAGCTTCCTTCTATTTTAAAGTTTTCCGGGATTTAAGTTAATTTGAAGTATTTTTATCTTCCAAAGCTTTTATAAACTGAAGAATGTAAGGCTGAGTATACTTCATATTCACATAGTTTTCCTAAGGATCTTGGACTGCTTCGGTGGATTTATCTTTTGAAGAGACAATACAAGGTTTGTTTATCCATTCTTTGCCTAAAATAGCAGGTCTCTGTGCAACTCACATCTCGGTGCTTTCATACTGCACATCTGCACATCACATGAATGAAGATACCCATTTTTTTGTCATGAAAACCAACGGGAAACACACTGTTGGCAGCTCCCCTGGTCCTCTGATTAAACTCTCTGTAAGACAGTAAGGCTCAGGCTGCTTCCAGTTCAAAACGAAACTTTGGGATTTGATGACATGCTATTAAATACAAAGGCTTTATATTTTTTCAGATTAGATTTTAACTTGCTGAGTAAATTAATTAGCAATGAATAATCAAAAATGGATTAAATTTAGCTTCCAAGTAAAATATTGTATAGGACCCTGAATAAATTCAGGACTAAAGTCTCAGTCCATATAATTATTTATTTACTTATTAAGATTAATGCAGGTTTTATTTTCTTTCAACAGTTTTCACATCAGTCTTTTGGGTTCCAGATATATTTGTCTATAGTAGAAGTCTCTGAAAACTGTTTTACCTTCTTCCACTCAGTCCTTTCTGCCAAATCCAAGTCACTTACAAATGAATGTGGCGTTAAAGGAAGGAAGAAAGAACATAATGAGAATGGAAAAATGGTCCAAAATGTTAAAAGGATGGAAAGCTATTTAAAGAACAAAACAGTCTCAGGAGCTGGAGAACTCTGTGGACTGACATATGCAAGTCGTATGTCAGCATATGCCTGCATTGCACATACAGTCTGTATCCATTTGCTAAATTTTGTGTCCAAAGTTGTAGCAAGAAGATCAGGTTTCAATGCAGTTAGGAAAATGTCAAAGCATGACAAAATGTTTGATTTTTAATTATCTGTAGAAGCCATTTTGAGCATGATTTTTTTTCCTTGCTCTTTTTTGAGACCTCTGAGACCATCCTGACCACTAAAACAAATGTACCCATTTCACCCCACGTTAAATTCTCAGTGTCAGGGAAGATGGGACCAACAGCACAATTAGCCAGGAATTAGGAATCAGGCACTACAGTGCTGCAGAATATGGGAGGTGTTGACTCTTTTTGGCCTCTATGTGGGAATAAAACTCAGAGGAAAACATTCAAAATATGCAGTGCATACAAAACATGTACCCTATAGGCAAGAAACACGGAATTAGGACACAGGGAAAACAATTTCAGCTTCCTATTCCAAATCTAATATAATAACCTAATCACTGCGTTGCTGTATTTGTTTCTTATTTCCAGACCAGAAATCCCATTTTAAGTCTGAAAAATCTCCCTTTGGAAAAAAAAAAAAAAATGCTGAAATGAATGTAATTTAAATTTCAATCAAATAGAAATATAAGAAAAATGCTGGGAAATTTCCAACGCAAGTCAGCTGCAGAGTGGCTGCAAGATGTGAGCTAACCCTGGTTAGCACACTGCTTCCAAAAGAAAGATCCCTTCTGACATCCCAAAGTTGAAGTAGCTCTGTGTGACAGTTTTAGGGCCCGTATTGTTGCTGATGAACCATATGTTTGACTATTCTGGCAACTGCAAAACTAGGTTATGATGAGCTGCAAATATCAACAGTCAACAGTAATAATGGTGAATGTTGCATTATACTTGATGGGCCTTTATTATTTGTTACATTACTCAATTGTATATGGGAAGAGAGCATTTTAGTTGAGCATGCTACATGACTATGAATTAGGTTTGAGTGAGAAAGCTGCAGAACTTCCAAGTGTGATACAGCATTAACTGATTTACATAAAGGAATTAAATGCTCTATGTAGTTTACTTCTATGCAGAAACAATGAAGGAAGTCAGGGAATGGATTCTTGTCTCAGATAAAATCCAAAGGAATCTGGCCAGCATCAAAGGAGTATTACCAGACTGACACTGCTACAGTCAAGATGAAAAATTCACTGATGTTTTTAAATCTCAGCCAGGAATGACTACAGCGGATCAGTGGCTCAGTTTCACTACATGTGACAAAATTACAACAACTAGAATAAGGAAAGCTGCATTTAACATGCATAGACTCTGGGATTAGACAATTGCCAGAATTTCACCAGAATTTCTGCCTGAAGATCGCTGCACCAAAACGAGGGTACTGCCAGACATGTGGTGGCAGCGAGGAGAGGCTGTGTGATGTTTGCTATGGTTTCTGCTTCGCTGCATTACCTTGAAATGACATTAGCACACATTTTATATTCAGTGAGGGGA